GCTGGAGGGAAGGGGCTGTTGATGCTCGGGCGGGCCCGGAGCGGGGACAGGAGAGGACGAGTATGAGACGCTTCTTCCTGGAGTGATTGCGGGTGGCGATGCCCATCGGGTTAGAGCGAGACGGAGAGAAGGGGCCAATGACGTAGCCCACGGACACCTCCCGCGCCCGAGCCGCGTGCCGACTTGGGGCTCACGGAGAGCCGGGAAGAGGTTGCGGGACACGAGACGCCGAGGGACCTAAACAGAGCCTGCAGTCTAATGTGTGGGATTTAAATAGAGCTTGCAGTCCAAAGTGAGGTATTAAAACTGAGCCCGCAGTCCAAGTGAGGCGTTTAACGGAGAGCCTGCAGTCCGGTGCGAGGGAGTTAAACGATGTGAGGGATCCAACAGAGCCTGCAGTTTTTTTTTTTTTTTTTAGTTATATTTATTTATATTTATATTTATTCATATTTATATTTATTTATATTTATTTATTTTTTTTATATATAAGCGTTCCAGATATAAGCAGTACCATATATGCAGTTCCAATATGAGCAGTTCCATATAAGCAGTTCCATATACAAGCCGTTCCATATATAAGCAGTTCCATATATAGCAGTTCCATATATAGCAGTTCCATATATAGCAGTTCCATATATAAGCAGTTCCGCATGAAGCAGTTCCAGGTACGGTATAACAGCTCCAGATATAAGCAGTTCCAGATATAAGCAGTTCCGTGCGGGATTAACCTGGGAGCTCGCAGTCCAATGTGAGGGATTCAATTTGGGAGCCGCAGTCCTGAGGGATTTAAACGGGGCTTGCAGTCCAAGAGAGGGATTTAAACAGAGCTCGCAGTCCAGAGAGGGATTTAAAGAGAGCCTGCAGGCCAAAGTGAGGGATTAAAACTGAGCACGCAGTCCAATGTGAGGGATTAAACTGAGGTCTTGCAGTCCAATGTGAGGAATAACGGAGCTTGCAGTCAGAGTGAAGGATTTAAACGGAGCTTGGTTAAGAGAGCCTGCAGAACAATGCGAGGGCTTTAAACTGAAGCTTGCCCACCAATGCACAGGGCCAACTGAGCCTGCAGTACAAAGCGCGGGGCGAACTGAGCCTGCAGTACAATGCGAGGGGAATAAACCGTCCGCAGGTCAGCATACTTACCCACAACGCCAGAAGACAAGGGACAACACAACGGGACCAGGCCGTACCGGCACGAGGAGGCAGGGATGCGCACAGCTCCCACCGCACCGGGCCAGACCGGCCGTATGCAGCAGCAGGCCGCGACGAGACGAGCAGCGGCGAACCCGCAGAAAGAGCCCGCAAAGGAGGAGAGCGGCAAAGACCCACGGACCACAGAACGAGACCCGCAGCAGGTGCAGCGACGCGGAGGAGGAGCAGACCACACGCAGCAAGACAGAGGACAGCAGGGACCGCAGGAGTAAGCGTGAGTAGACAAAGCGATTCCTCCAGAACTCATGCGAGGCTTCAGAGGCCGAGAGTGGGAGTTTCTCCGTTTTTATGCGGCTGGCGAGTCGGTACAGATGATTGGAAGGGGGCGTCTGCTGTGCGATAGGCTGGGGATGCGAGCCGGCCTGGAGGGGGTAATTTTGGTAAACGTCTACCAAATTGAATTTTCGCTGGCTGCATCTGTTGTCCCACATTCACTCCCACAAACACACATTCTATTGTACATATATTTAGTGGCAAGGAAAACTGGAGCACCAGGAGGGAACCCATGTGCAAACTCCACATAGAAAGAACCTGCAGTCTGCTTTTAGCCTCATAGCCTATAAGGGGTGTTCAAACTCTTTAGAAAGAGGGCCAATTTAGTTCACCAGACTTGTACACAGCCATTTTGTGACACAATCAAAATTTAATGTTGAGGTGCAGCAAGACTGTATTGGTGCATATGAAGTTGGCTGGATGACACTGTGAAAGCACCTCAATGGCTACTATGAGGCTGAGGGATATAACACATAGAGCTGAAAATGGCCCACGGGCCGCAGTTTGGGCACACCTGCTATAGGCTCTGAGGCCATAGGCTTAGAGACACAAAAGATCATTATTTCCCTCCTTTTTTTGACAGATGAACAACTACCCCCACTCTTGCGAAGATGAGGGTGCCTATAAGCTACCTTTTCTTATTTGTGCTAAAGCTCTTACTAATAAAAACCGCAATATTGCATTTTAAATATGCAAGGTACATTTCTCAGGATCATGTTAAAATCCCAACAATAATGCAGCTTAAGTCCACAGACCAAATTGGTAAAAAGTACTTGTAAAAAATTGTAAAAACACGTTAAACCAAGTCCAATACTTCTCTGTGTTTTACCGTACCTCAAACGAAATGAAGAGAACAGCGCTTGGATTGAAACCATCTTGTCAAAATAGTTGCGTTGTGAAGGGAGCAGCCGGTGGGGGCACGCCCGAGCCGGGAATACAGCAGTAAACAAGCTCTTGTACAAGGCAGACGCGGGACGAGAGCTAGTAACATCATGACTAATGTATGCTTCAGGCCCGTCCCGGCTACTACACTGTCAACAAAATACAGCTCATAATCAATGCACCACTGTTTCCTGCATAACAAGGTCGCGGTGGAGGGTCGACCAGGAGCATCTCTGAGTTGTGTTAGTGCTGCCGGGGAAAACATTTGCAAAACCTAAAACAGCATCAGGGCTGAGCTCCAGAGAGGGAGAGGGCTCAGAATGGAGGGAGCAGTTCCAATTTGTAGCTGGGAATGCACCAGCTCCACAACAATATCATATCTGGGATTTCATTATCCACATGTGTCATTCACCTGTCAGGCTGCACAATGAACACTCCTCATTTTGTATGTGCAGTATTAGTTATACAGGGATCCCTCTCTGTTCACCTCTTGAGGCCTCACTGCTTTGCCAATTTTTTTAGTGCACTTGTGCTTTTTTCCAGCGTACTAGTATTATAACACTCCAACAACATCATATAACAGCTAGTCTAGCATGAGTAATCTTCATTTAAAGTCTGGTTTCTCTCTGGTGTCTCTCTGGTCCCTCCCTGGTCTCCCTCTCAGTCTCTCTGGTATATATTTCTGGTGTAACTCTGGTCTCTGCCTGGTTTCCCTCTTTCTGGTCTCTTTGGTTTCTCTCTTGTGTCCCTTTCTCTGGTGTCTCTCTCTCTGATGTCTCTTTGGTCTCTCCCTGGTCTCTCTCTCTGGTGTCTATCTGGTCCCTCCCTCGGCTCCCTCTCTGGTCTCTCTCTTGGTCTCTCTGGTGTCTCTCTGGTCGCTTCCTGGTCTCTCTCTATTGTCTCTCCCTGGTCTCTCTCTCTCTCTCTAGTCTGGTGCAACCAACAGCTTTAAACATAAAGCTTCTACTTCAAAGATTTCACTTACTGTGGCTTATTTTTAGAACACATAACCCCCACAACAAACAAGGGACCAATAATTGCTGTATCCAGTCGACCACCAAGATCCAATAGCTCAAACTAACAAACAGACAAACAAACCTTGATGAAAACGTAACCGTAATAATTAGTGTTGCATAAGTTCAATGTTGCATCCTGTGCAGATTTCAGAGCTCAAACAACATGCACATGTAGCAGGAGCAGAAAGATTCCACCATGTATCCACAGAGAAGAAGTTTTCAATGACAGTAACCATCTTGGACTCGGATGAGCACAGGCCTCACCCATCGTTCTGATAAGTTCAGTCTTCCTGAAAATGTGAGAAAGACTTCTACTCTGACAATGTTCAAAACCAGGTTAAAAACTGTTCTGTTTCGCTGCAACAACTGAAGGATTGTAAATTCACCTTGTGTTGTTGTTTCTATCTTGTTTTGTTAAGCACCTTGAGTTGCCTTGTGTAAGAACTGTGCTATTCATAGAACCTTGCCTTTCCATATAAAGCATAGAAAGTAAAGTCTCATTCACTGTGGCTGCCTGACTTCAGAGCAAAACCTTCAAACTGGAAAAACCAAACTGTTTTATGGACTGGATCTTTCAGGAATCATTTAGGGAAAAAAAAAAAAAAATCTATTTTTGTTCAGTTGTAAACTCTTATTTATCTCACATGAAGTCAGTGTGTAGGAGCCTGGGGTGTTCAGATGGGTCAGCCCTAGATCATTTACGGAATCAGGACGGAAGCGGAAGTAAATATAACAAAATACCCATTCATGCCTAAACTTAACCAGCCATTCCCATAAAATGACTCCAACCCACCCTTAACCCTAACCTTAACCATCTTACCCAGACACCAAAAACTTAACCAGTCACCATTTAAGGACTTTTTAGTCTAAAACGAATTCGAAAGGATTGTTACTTCCGGTTTTGTCCCGATTCCATATATGATCTAGTGCAGACCGGTTCAGATGTGGTGTTGAGTAAAGCAGTTAGCACTATAGCTGCTAAATAGAGGCAGCCACACATTCAAAACATAGAGAACATGTGTCTTGTTTCCATGACAACATGCAGGTTTTTAGTGGAAGAGGCTGAGTCTTGGCAGAGTCTTACTGTGCTTCAGGCCTGTGTTTGGAAAAGTGAGATGTGTTCAGCCAAATATTTCATGCAGAATATACAGTATTTTATAAGTTACAGATGTTATACTTGCTTCTTTATTATGCTGAAGTTAGAGATTTTATTTTATTTTAGTGCCGTTAAGAAGCAATCATTTGGTAACTGTAGCGCATTTTTACAGACCAAGGTCTGAGTTCAAATATTTTTTAATTCACCCTCCACACGGTGATGACAGAGGTGAGACACCGGACGTACTAGGGCATCAAAGCTCCTAACCAACACCATAGATTCACTTACTAATTACATTCATAACTATTCTACATATTTTCAGTGGTAAGGGAAACAGGAGCACCTGGAGGAAACCCTACACCGATACAGGGAGAGCCAGCAAACAAAAGGATCTCTTAATCCTAATATGTAGGAATGTTTCTGCCCAACAGCCTTTTTCAAGCAACATTTCTGAAACATAAAAAGCCAAAAGCCCATGTATAGTCTTTTTCTCTCTTCATCAGACCCTCTCAGCCGGATCGTGCATGTCTGAGCTGCTCCTCCTGAGGCAAAAGTGTGGGCGCCCCTTGACCACAGCATTGACCGTGTCCTCTCTGTTTGTCCCGCAGGCTGCTCCAATGGACGGCCGGGCTCCTCTGAAGACAGCACTCATGGGTCAGAGGGGTCAAGGGGAGGTCAGAAGTGTCAGCCTAACGCTAGACTCTGCTGCAGGCTGGAGCAGGGGCCTGGTGCTGGTCACAAAAGTGTTTATCCCTGGCCTCTGCACTCACACAGAGTCATGAGAAGTCAATATATTCAAATAAATTCAATGTATTTGTGTTTCGCCCTAAATAACAACTGTGGCCATCACAGAGGACTTTACAAAGGTGTGTATTTGCCAACATCGGATCAGAGAGTCAAACAGTTCGGAGTTGGTCCATAGGGTTAAGGATGACCTGTGTCCAGAAATGTCATCATATGTAATTATATGTGAAAAAAGAGACACCGTTTGGTAGGTCCAACTCTCAATTTTTGATTCCGATATCAACCGATACCGATGTCGATATGATGGTTATTTTTCCTCAAAACTAATTTAGGTAACATCACATATCAATAACAGTGTAACGCCCACATAGGTCCATATGTTTGCTTAAAATCTGGAACAATATTCCTGAAGATGTGAGACAGGCCTCCTCTCTATGACAATGTTTAAAACCAGGTTAGAACAGTTCTGTTAAGCTGTGCATTAGAGTTTCGTTCGGGCCTGAAAAATCAAGCCTGACCCGGCCCGAGCCCGCTAATACTAAGCCCGAGCCCGAATAAGCCCGACCAATTAAGGTTGTATAATAGCCCCGAGCCCGACAGAAGCCCGACACATCTGATTTCCCTTGTTGTGCGCACTCACCTTCCAATTGCAAGTTTAGCCTCTTCTGAATGTGTTTTGTACGTCCACCTGATCTGTGTGTTCCCTGTTGACCCTAGCATTCAACAGGAAAAACAAGGATGATGCGTTCATGGCTCGCTGCGGCTGTAGGACACGCCGGTTACGGTGTTATAAATATATCAACTTTTTTAATAACTTGTTGTCAATCAACAGACATTATTATTAATAACAACATATATGCATATCATTATGTATGTAAATCATTTTAAAAAATGAAAAAAGTACAAATAAAAAGGAGCCCGAGCCCGCAACGGCCCGACTGCTGAGCGCTAAAGTGAGGGGCCTGCTCGGGCTCGGGCTGAAAAGCGAAACTCTACTGTGCATACAACTGAGGGATTTTATATTTGTATCTCTCTTTTTAATGTACTGTGATTATTTATGATTTTAATGCTTTCTTATTTTATTCAGCACTTTGAGTTGCCTTGTGTTTGAATTGTGCAATACAAATAAACTTTCCTTGCCTCAGGAGGGTGAAATGTTTTATTTTACAACCATCATGTGTACCAGGTCTGTTCTGTGTCATTTACATTTGTTGTCAATTAGTATTATAAAATTGTCTATTGATGGCGTTTTGCGGGACTCTAGTTGAGAATGTCGGGCGCGGGGCGCGCATGGTCTGACGTCAGATGCCGACTTGGAGCAGCTTTACCTGGAGGACCCGTTTTTCGCGCATTATTATCACTTTTGGAGTTATTTTGTTTTAGATTACCACTGTGGATTTAACGAGACTGTATATTAATACTCCATGGTCACTGCTGGGCTCCAGGACAAGTTTTGGTTGGGCCGTAGTGGACCGTGGTGCATGCGCGGGGGCCGTGAGTAGACCCATAACTTTACCGCTGACACTGACTCTTTTTTTGTTTTCAAATATTGAGAGCACGGAGCACTTTGATCACAGGGACCACTGTTGTTAGTAGGGTTGGGCGATATGGGCCTCAGCATGTATCACGATTTTTGTTGGTATGTATCACGATATGACGATATGATAATTTTAACAAAGCCTCATATAAAAGCTATAAAAACTTAGCACTGATAATTTTAAACACACTTGCCTCAAAGTGCATTAACTGATTTATTGGCAGCAAAATGTGTAATACAGCTATTGTATATAAAACGTATTAACAAAACTGAATTGTAGAGAATTCTGTTTTGTACATACTGAAAATTGCAGGCAACATGTAATAAAGGTGAACATTTGTCATTTGTAAAATATAAAAAGTGTAGCATTATCAAATAATTATTTGATCACTTTGGCTTATGTTTCCTAATCCCAATATAGTCAAAATGATCAAATACTGTATATATTTTTTGTATCCTTTTGCGTTTCTATAATTATGTAATTATAACTTGTTTGTAATTATATTGCAATGTAGACAAACACATGCATTGAAGTAAAATGAATGACAGTAAACAGTAATAAAGCTTACCAATGGCACTATGAGAGAGAGAGAGAGAGAGAGCGAGTGTCCGAAGCAAGCCACTCGAGTCCAGTTGTTTAGGGCAGCTGCTTTCACAACATTAGATCCACTGTCGATAGTTACACACAATTGCTTTTTTTATCTTAGTTCCCAAACTAATCCCATATGTTTGAGGTAGCTTCGCGTTTTGGCACAATGTCTTCTACAGTCTGCATGTCTTCACCATGGTCTTCACCGCCGCCCTCAGCCATGTTTGCTCTCTGCTCTGTTGTTGTTGTCCCTGCACGCCGTTCTGCTACACGTGCCGCGCAGATACATCATCAAAGTGCGCCGCACACAAACGTGTCTTCCGCTCGCTGTTTTCAGTGTTAAACGATCGTTTTCACCGGTATAAGGCATTTTCTTATCATTTAATTTACTTATACCGGTATACCGGTACAAAAAAAATATCGCCCAACCCTAGTTGTTAGTGAATGTTCATTTTCATTATTGTGTGGGGATCGCACTCGAGCGTGGGGGATGTTGGCCTTTCATGTTGAGAACTGGATCAGTAAATAAATAGCCAGTTTTCGGCCAAATGCATGTTTTACACCTGTACTTATTTCACCGCTGATGTGACCATATTATCGGACATCTCTACCGTTTGGGGAAACCCACATTGAGAGAGGGATCTGCTCCCACAGATGGACAGACTAGATCCAGGACAAAGACTAAGACTGTAGCTCCAGGACCTGAGACTGTAGATCCAGCACTGAGGCTGTAGATCTAGGAATGAAGTTGTAGATCTGGCCTATATACATATGCAAATACATGTGCCAAACTCTTTGATCTAGTATACTGGACTACACGATGGCACTCAAAGTTCTCGGGTCTAAAAATATGCATTACTTCTGCATGAAGTCCACAGTGGATTCTTTAATCTGGTCCATAGGTGTTCAAAGGACATCCGTAACAGAAGAGTAGAGAACTCCACTTTGTGTTTGTGTTTTTTCTAAAAAATAATCAATGCATCTAATCCAATGATGCATTTTTAAGTATGAAGCCACTCAATAGAATTATCCGCAGTAAACAATCAAGACTGCAGGAGACCATCCAGCAGACCGCAGTGTATTTACTGTGGAACGCAACAGATGGATCATCAATTGATATTTTCAAGTTCTATGCCATGATATCGACCAAAACATGCTTAATAATAGAACAGGTTCATTGACTTCTTATTAAAAACGTCTGGACTGTAACATTTCACAGTTGCAGATTTCAGTGTCTGTTTTTTTACTGCTGAAAAATAAAAATAAACTATTTTTTTTACCTGGAGACCACAAGTCCAAAGCGATGGGCGGGGGTAGGTGGAAGGTAAATCAGAAATTCTACAAGATCTCACTGTGTGATGTGGGGGTAGCATTAGCATCTTGCTGATGGCGACTGTACAGGACTACAGGGAAACATGGCTACTACACAAGAGAGTGAAAAAATCCGCACAGCTATGTGGCTCCCAATTGGTGTATTTTATTTACATACCACGCAGTAACGTTTCGGGCTGAGGCCCTTCGTCTGTTACCGCGTGGTATGTAAATAAAATACACTTATTGGGAGCTACATAGCTGTGCGGATTTTTTCACTGATTTTACGTTTTGCATTTTTTTATCCAGCACACTAGCTCAGACTACCGGGGTGTGCGCCCTTATTTGAAATGTACTACACTAGAACGACCACACAAGAGACCACACAAAAGATCCCACAGGAGACCACACAAGTGACCACACAGGAAACCACACAAGAGACCAACAAGGAGACCACACAAGAGACCACACAAAAGACCGAGACCTCACAAAAGACCCCACAGGGGACCACACAAGAGACCACACATTAGTTAAATTTATTCAACGAAATTTCAAGGATGAACAAATGCTGTCCACCTGTAACTCACTGTACTGCCACCAGAAGGTGGAGCTGAATTATTAGTTTTTAATTTTTATCACTTTGGAAAATGACTGGCTGCAAGACACAGGATGTGATTCTGAAGGATGTTATTTTGTGACGTGTGATGTCGTAGTGTTACAATGACATCATAATAGGACTAAGACTGGAGCTTTTTGTTTGTGCTTGTGACTTTCTGATATGAGCGGGGATGGATCTAAACACACACAGCTCCAAGATTTGGAAGTGTATTCACTACTCTTGTACACGTCACAAAGTCTTCACAATTTTGTGACTTTTTTGTGTGATATTAATCAGTTATTATTCTAATTAAATTACCTTTCAATTTTGAAATTCAGTTCTACATTCTTTCATTACCCCAGGCTCATCAGCACTCAGGCCTCAAACTGGATCAGCTTCAAAGCCGTGTTGAGCGCATGTTGTTCTGCAGGAAGCTCGCGATAGAGCCGTCACTCAGCGCCATCACGGCTCCAGCAACTCCTCATTATCACCTTCACACAAACAATTTTTCAGTCACAGAAATAGAAAGTGTTTGTGTTACCGCTTTGTCTCTCTCTGTCAGAATGTTTACATTGAGGAGTCGCAAGAGAGAGTTTGCAAAGTCGTATGAGACTCAGAGCAGATGCAGATGAGCAGCGCTTACAGAGAGTTACGTCAGAAAAGTTTGGAGAGGATTATGTACGTCCTTTGTGTGAAGTTCTGTGAGGAAGACAGACACCGTGGTGTGCAAACAGTAAGAGGGCCTCTTAACCAGGTTTGTTCAGGGGCTCACAGCCTGGCTTGTAAAACTGTTTTGACTGGATTCAACCTGTTCTGAGATTTGAAATTAGCTATGAAGGGGAAAAATGTGGCTTAATGAAAGCTCAGCCTCAGTCCTGGATCTACAGTCTCAGGCCTGGAACTACGACCCATCTGTGGGAGCGGATCCCTCTCTCAATGTGGGTCTCCCTCAGGTGTATCACGTCTTCCACTGGGTTTCTGAGTGGTGCAGGAGAGTCTATGG